TTCCAGCATGCGCCCATTCATGGCTGCATATTATTTAATTCATGCAAAGTTACGTCTTTATTGGGACAGGACTTGACGAATTATTTTACTTGACTCCGTGAGTTCATCTCTATTTCTTTGAGCCAAGCTGCATAAGCTGCATAAACTGCATATCATGCATTTATGTAATACATCTAATTTGTGCATTAATGGCTGTTATGTTAAATAAAGTTTACTAACTACAGTAAATCAAGTACCTGTGCACGTTGTTGTTGTTGCCTTGTTTCCCCTCAGACGCGCTGCAATGTTGATCCTGCGCGCAATTCTCAAAACATCCACAAGATGGCGGTGTTTATCGGTGAATTCGATATTACAAAACCGATATCCGGTTATTGTAAAATGCTTAAATATCAGGAAAAATATCGGTAAATCGATATATCGGTCGATCTCTACTTTACAGTTGCCAAGAATATAACTTTTGGGTTTTTTGTTATTAAAAATAAATAAGCAAATCCAGTTTGGGTTACAAAAAGTAACAAAAGTAACGTAATGCATTAGTTTCCATAAACATATGGAAAGGAACTAAGTAATGCAATTAGTTACTTTTTTATGGAGTAACACAATATGGTATTTACTTTTAAAAGTAACTTTCCCCAACACTGATTATGACAGAGATAAACTTGTTTTGTTTTTGTGCATCTCAGGTGTGCCAGGTGAGCGCTCAGCAGCCCGTCCAGACTGAACTTCTGATGCGTTACCACCAGCTGCAGTCCCGCTTGGCCACGCTCAAGATTGAGAATGAGGAGGTAAGAATGATCACAGTTACTACATGCAACATTTTATCATGGACGTTATCATGGTATCCACCTCTCAGTAATAATTATTTAGTCTCAGCCTCAGACGCTACATCCAAAGACCATTCACTGACTTTGATTCATATTGCATACTAAAATAATCGCAATCTGATTGACTGGTTTTATCCTATTTCCAAAAAGTCAGAGTGCACAGGTCTTTATCAGTGTGCTGAGAAACAAAGTTACGGTAAGGTAACTTTACCGATATGGCACCAGGCAGCCACACTGAACAAAAAAAATTCCTTTTGGGTTGATGTCACCAAGCCTTCTTATATTTTTCAGTCCCTCTGGTTCAAGCAACTGACATCATATTATAGAAGTAAAATAGGTTGTGAACTCTGTTTCCTGTTGACTTTAACATCAGATCTGTATGCTATACAGATCCCGCTGTTGCAACCACATGCTTTGCAAACTGTTCAGTTTTATTACACCTGCTCAGTGTAAAGATTCCTCAGCTTCTTTAGTGTGAGTCATCACTCTGCAGAGAGCCCAACTGCCTCTCTCACATGAGTCTTTAGCACTCAAAGAGCCCTCGGCTTTACTCACATATTTTTTTGAACCATTTTTAAAGCACTCCAGAGAATATACTTGAGCCTAGCACTCAAACTCGTTGCAATCTTTCCTGGGAACTGAGAGTGTATTTTTAGCATTCTTATCTGTTAATGGTGCGTTTCTTTTGGAATGGAACGGTTATCTCCATGTTTGGTCTTCGGTGGGGGTAATTCTTTGTATTGGGAGAGCCAAACACAACTCAACCGCATTACCAACCAACTAAGTGTATGCAGGTGCTAATGGACTTTGTAATAGCTCCCGTCTGTGTGTATTGATCATTTCATCTTGCCCTTATCACTTTGTGTCTCATAACCAGCTAGTAACTGATGATTTTATGTCATATAGGAAATGCGCCACATTAATCTGTGAGGGCCTGGGGCCAATTTACACACCATTCACTACAGCATTCAGACGATCCTTGATTTCATACATTGGTGTGAGTGATCTTTGGTCCCCGAGTCAAATGTATAGAGGTTTAGGAATTTTCAGAGCTGCATACAGCAATACAGTATATGTACAAATGTCACTTGTGGTTTGGCTGCATTGGTTGTCTTCAAAATAGGTTCAGATCTTTGCTTCATTGCTCAGTTTTGAGGTTTTAATAACTCTACCTGCATAAGCATTCAAGTAAGCAGCAACACATTTAAGACTGTGGGCGTATATGAGTCATAGTGACACATAGATGCAAGTGCAGACAAAGTTAAAGCTCATTTTACACTCTTTTTTTCTTCCAGTGATGTTTTCTGAACTAGTGTACTACACAAATACTTTTATTTGAAAGTTTAATCCATTTTTTTTGAGTCTCTCAATATTCTTAAGCTCGTATTGTGGGTTTGAATATATCACAGAGGCATGTACCTGTTATTGCAAACAATAAGCACTTTTTTTTGACTACAGTGTGCACTGAAAATTGTATTTTGAAAGTATTATAAAAGTGCCCACAAAATATTCCAGGGTTTAACAATAAATATTTTTTGATTATGTCGGGCAAGTATTTATTTTTTTCCTTTCCCTGCTAACATTATATGACAACAATATGAGACATCAATTTTGCCAAAATTTGTGTGTGTGTGTGTGTTAGAAAATAGATATGTTTTATATTATAACAATATTTTGTATATATACAACAGAAATATGTAATATAATTATGAAAGCCAGTTTTCATCTCAGGAAAAAAATAGTGAGTTGCATCTCACAATGTGGCTTTATATCTCACAATGTGACTTCCTTTCTTATTTTAAACTGTCATAATTCCCTTTTAATTTTTTAGATGTCCATGTATTACACTCTAAAAAATGCTGGGTTAAATACAACCCAGTGCTGGGTAAAATAGGGACAAACCCAGCAATTGGGCTGTTTTGACCCAGCGGTTGGGTTAAATGTTTAACCCAACCTTCTGGGTAGTAACCCAACCGCTGGGTCAAAACAACCCAATTGCTGGGTTTGTCTCTGTTTAATCCAGCATTTTTTAGAGTGTACTCCATGACTGCTACAAATTCATGAATACACTTTTGCTGGATGGCATTTGGTGTGAATCATTACTGATTTAGGTGTAATTTTAAACTTATACTAATTATGTAATGAAAAAGCTGGATTTTTAGCAGCCATTACTCCAGTCTTCAGTGTAACATGATCATTCCAAAATCATTCTAATATGCTGATTTGGTGCTCAAGTAGCATTTCTTTTTAGTATCAATGTTGACAACTGCTATGCTGCTTAAAATGGTTGTGGAAACCAAGATACTTATTTTCAGAATTCTTAAAAAAAAATAGACATTTCAAAAGAACATTCATTCTTTACTGTCACTTTTGATCAATTTAATGTATCCTTGCTGAATAAAAGTATGAATTTCTTTAATTTCTTTAAATCTTACAGACCCCAAACTTTGAACGGTACACTCTAAAAAATGCTGGGTTATTTCAACCCAATTTGGGTCAAATATGGACTAACCCAACCGTTGGGTTAAATTTTTACCCAAAATTTGGGTTAGTCCAAATTTGACCCAAAGTTGGGTTGAAATAACCCAGCATTTTTTAGAGTGTAGTGTAAATCTTGCATAACTTATATTCCCTAAGTTCATACTCATCTCTCTTTCACCTTACTGAGTCCCTGCTATGTTTAATTAGGTGCGCAAGACCCTGGATGCCACCATGCAGACCTTACAAGACATGCTGACAGTGGAGGACTTTGATGTATCAGATGCCTTCCAGCACAGCCGATCCACGGAGTCCATCAAATCCGTGGCTTCCGAGAGTTACATGAGCAAGTTAAACATTGCTAAGAGACGAGCCAATCAACAGGAGACAGAAGTCTTCTACTTCACTGTGAGTTGTCTTATTTTCTCAGGCCATAAGCACTGGGACCACAATTATGGACAGTTTTATATGACATATGGTGATATATGCAATTAATTGTGAGTAATCGGCATGTGTATTTAATTAAGTTTTTATTTGATTGACACTCATTATTGGTTATTTTAGACATAATATGGCAAACCCTGATACCTTCCATTTATAATACTTTTTTTAAGATAAAGATGAAGTCCAGGTCTTCAGGATCTCTGGACTATCAGTAGACCTTTTAATACATGGTTCTCATCAGAATCGTCTTTGCAAAGACTGATATGAAAGTCTACTCGGCCTGTACTATCTATCTGTCCAAACTCAGTCATCACACGTGGATTCACAAAGCATTCGTGACAAGGCCCATGCCTCACCAATGAGACGGAAATTAAATCCTCCTATTGGAACAGATTGAATTTGCGGCGTCTAAAGTACAGCGAAATCTGTTTTTTGTTGCCCTGTTTTAGTCACATCCTATTAAAACCATTAGCTCACTGACGCCTTCATCTGTGTCGCAGAAATTCAAGGAGTACCTGAATGGCAGTAACCTCATCATTAAGCTGCAGGCCAAGCATGACCTGCTGAAACAGACTCTGGGGGAAGGTGAGTTGTCTGTTTATTAAATAAGTTTCTCTCCGCTCTCTGGAAATGCTCAGCGTCAGCTAAGCCGCTGGCATCTAATTCCAACTTTGGTCACTGTTGGATATAAAATTGAAAGTTGTAGTTTCATAGTGAACTCAAAAAGTTTGCTAAACTAACTGGACAAGATACAGAAGTGAGGACCAAAAGGTTAAGACCATTAGTGAACATTCTTCTGTTTTGTGTCTGCTTGTGTAATTTAAAGCTGGCAGAACTACCATGAACTCCACAAGTCTGTGTAGAGCTGATGGTGAACTTCATTTGTACCAATGTTTTAATATGGTCAGGTGACTTATTTAAGATATAAAAATATACTATTTTCTTTATTTTATGTCATTCTTCCATGACAGTCTGGAATTTTTTTAATCAATCATTTGTTATATATGTTATTGTATATTATTGTAATTATATGTTATATATATATATATATAAAATATGTAATACAATGTATATATGTTTCATATATTTTATTATATATAATCATTTTAATTTATTTAAATTAAAAAAACATCCCAGATTTTCACTGTCATCTATTGTTGGGAAAAAAGCTTTAAACTACCCTTAAGGAATATAGAGGGTAATTTTCAGCCTAATGTTTACACATTACACAGATGTTCCACATCTATATTACACAGTGGATATACCGTAGACAATATTTTTGACCTATCCCTCAGTTTGTTAATACAAATGGGGATTAAACATTTAATATATGACCATAACACAATCTTTTACATGTGTTAACGTAATGCAAGTATGATTGCTTACTAACCCTTCTGTGCAAAGTTATCCAATCTTTCAACTGATATGACAACTAGCTAAAACATAAACCCAGTTCCCTTTCAGTCGGTCACTCTCGACGTCACGTCGGATGACCGACGAATTGGGATCTTGCTTAGAGAGACCAATCTACTTTGAGTGTAAACTAAACAAGCCAATGCACATTGGCATGCGATTATTGCATCCAGCTGCTGCTGATCACAGCGTGAGTATAAGTAGGCAGCAGATGCTGAGCATATTCAGCTTTTCGCTTCGGAGCCGAGCGGTTCTATCGTTCTGCTCCTGACCTTCTACAGTAGTAAAAACTACAGTCAAGCACGCTCTTCGTGGGCTCTCGTGCTGGTGGTACGGCGCTTCAGCGGCGGTGGTTTTCCCGTGTCGAGTGGGTTGCACACAACAGGCTGCACTACCCCCTGTGTGTGTTGCAGACGGCCATCTCCCCTGTGCGCTTCAGCACACTAAAAGAGCAATTTCCATCTAAAAGAGCTTCACGGGTGGAACGTCTTTTTAAAGACGCGTCTTTTTAAAGATGTCGTACCATCTGTGTGTTTCTGGGTGCGGTCGTTACCTGGCGCCGGGTGATGGTCACGATCGCTGCCTCTCGTGTCTGGGCATGAAGCACGCTGAGATGGCTTTCGTGGATGACTCATGCTCCCATTGCGGACCAGACTCCGTTACCTGCAAGGGGGCGGAGTGCCCATGCCACTGCCTAGATCTGGGGTTCCCTCTGGTGGCAGCCGGGGGCGCCCTTTTCTGGCAGTGGGCGGACTGGTCTTACGGTCACGGTGAGGAATACCCCTCCGGGGATGCCCCAGCCAGCCGGCACGCCGAAACCAGCAGAGCTCTCAAAAGAGCAGGCTGGCATGCCAATGTGCATTGGCTCGTTTAGTTTACACTCGAAGTAGATTGGTCTCTCTAAGCGAGATCCCAATTCGTCGGTTATCCGACGTGACGTCTCCGTTCCCTCCTTCAGGGAACGAGGGTTACCATACGTAACCGAGACGTTACTTTTGCATTGTATGACACAGCTAATACTGTGAAAAAAAGTCCCACACTTTAGATTTTGTAGAATTACTAGATAATGCCAAAGACTTTCTTCAGGCAAATAATAATGTTTTCTGTTTATTAACCGCTAGAGTGCCAAAAGTTACGGACTGCAGCTTTAAAATCACTATTATCGTTAATTTGTTGACATGAATGATTCTCAAATCATGCAGCTTGTAGGGCAGAGGTGTGCTTTTACTTTTTAAAGTAGTCAGATTTTACAAGTTAAAATTGGAAGAATAATCCTATACCAACATTAAAGGAGAAATCTTAGCCTTGTCTTAGGACTACAATGTCATAGAGAAAGCCACCCAGAGCACCCTAGCAACTGCATAGCAACATGCTAAAACACCTTAGCAACGCCCTGGCGTCAACACAACTACACTCTAACATTGTGAAGGTGACTTTTGCACAGGGAAGCACTGCTTACATTTTGTTTAGAAAACAAAAAAAAGTTACTTTAGTTAATTTATTTATTGTATTTGTAATTGAAAAAATTGGTAGTTGAAGCATTCTTGCATTATATTGTTTCTTTTTGACCTTCCTGTGTTTTTTGGTTTGTGGGCATGTATATTTTTTCATTGTTTGTATCATGGAGATACCAGGGAACCCTTTTAAATGCACTGGACATTGGGACAAAGAACCTAGTGAGCCGTCACAGACATCGCTCAGTGTCACCAGTGTGAAATGAATCCCTTGATGCACACCCACTCTTACTCACCCTCATACCCACAAATACAAACACACACACTTACTCACTCATTTAGCCCCCTTTAGTTCCCTTCTGTGGCCGTCTGACACCCCGCAGGGCCCTTTCCGAGGTTTTTAAGGTGACCAGTGCTCCTCTTTGTCTCAAGCGCTGTGTGGCTGCTCACCCATTCATCTCGTATTCAATAGTGCTGGCCACTCTCACGATAGCCCTCAGTATGCTCTGACCGAGCTTGAGAACCCAGTGCATGAGATCATGCTAATAATGACATTTCTGACTCCTCCCTCTTTCCACTCTCTTTTTTAGGAGAAAGAGCCGAATGTGGAACTACAAGGTAAGAGAGTTGTGCTGATGATGAGATTCCCATTTTCAAAAACAAAATAAAGGTTCTTAATTGGCATCTGTGGTTCCGTGAAGAACCTTTACCATCCATGGAAACTTTCCATTGCACAAATGCCCTTTATAGTGGAAAAAGGTTCCTTAGAGTATTAATATGTTCTTCACACTTGGAAACAAAAGGTTATTTAAAGAACTGTTCACTGTAAGGTTGTTTGGGGAACTCAAAATGTTTCTTCTTTGATATACTCTTAAAAAAAGATTCTTTATTGACATCTATGGTTCTTTGAAGAACCTTTAACATCAATGGAACGTTTGCATTGCACAAAAGGTTCTTTATAGTGGAAAACAATTCTTTAGATTATTCAAATGTTCTTCATACTAAGAAAAAAAATGGTTCTTTTCAGAACTGTTCACTGAAAGGTTTTTTTGGAGAACCCAGAATTGTTCTTCTATGGCATCATTGTGAAAACCCCTTTTGGAAACTTCATTGTTAAAGGGGTCATCAGATGCTACATGCACTTTTACAAGTTGTTTGAACTGAAATGTGTGTTGGCAGTGTGTGTACACAACCACCCTAAAATTATAAAAAAAATTCCCAGTGTTTTTTTTTTTTATCTACTAAAATCTTTACCCCTTTCTCAAATCGAGCCGATCTCAGATGCCTGTCTGTGTGACATCACAAAAACAGGCCCCTCCCACGATAGTCTAAATGACAATGGCGTTTCAGCACAGACTGGACTGGTGTCTTACGTTAGACCCGCCCTGAGTGAGCTGTCATCAGTCCGCCATTGTTTCACCGCTGGAGCAGATGTACACAAGAATGACTCCTAAGCGAATGAGGTGTTCTGTTGTTGGATGTAATAATGTACATATCAGTCATCATTTACTCCCGACATCTGAGCCGCTGAAGACGCAGTGGATTACGTTTGTTTCTGAAGGGAATGCGCCCCCGATCTACCTAAATGCGTCTATGTTCACGCGAATCATTCGTGATCCAGCTTCACCTACAGAAGAAGTGAGTTTAAGGTTTTTTAATGAATCTTTGCAAATCGCCTTTCCGAATAATGTGCTAATTAGCAAGTTTCACGATGAATTAAACAGCCTAAAGTAAATTAAATTAAACTAAAGTAAACAGTCCCTCAGAGAGCAGCTCGGAAGAGAGGGGCGGGGTCAGCAGAGCTCATTAACATTTAAAGGAAAATGCTACATAACGGCTTGCTCTGAAATGAGCTGTTTTTGTCAGGGTAAAAAAGGTGTTTTTTACACTACCATTGAGAGATTTTAACCAAACTATGTTACAGACTTTTCATTAAGACCCTAAAGAATTATATCAAGTTGTGGAAAATGGGCATCCGATGACCCCTTTAAGATTGTATAACTATGAAAACACCCTTTATTTTTAAGAGTGAAGATATACTCTTTTACCTCAACATTTCAAGATTTTTGTCCAATTAAATTGTATCTAAAGAAAACTGCACTTGTTAAACCATTGGGGTCATTAAAAAATAAGATTCAGTCCGTGTTATACCTCTCATCCATATCTATTATTCATTATCCATATCCATGATTATTGTTTTTAATAGAAAAAAGTTGTTATGGCATTTTAGATTAAAAAGAGATTAAACCATTATTTTCAGTCCATTTTATGCATGTTCATATGCTAAAACAACCTCTAAAACACATAACAGGCCAGGGTAAAAGCAAGAGAGGACAAATAAAACTTTTTTGATATTGCATGGTGGTCAAAAGGGGGACTTGTCCTCAAGCTGTCACTGGCAGGGGCTCAACTCATGCTGGGTTATCCAAAATGTCCTCTGACAGTTGGAGAATGCTGAGAATAGAGCCTTCATGGTAAACAAATGCAGACCTCTTCTGACCTCTCAGTTGGGTGACATCTACCAGTGTTGCCATTGATAATCATATGCCCTTTATTTAAAATTTCAAATGAAACACACTGCACAGCTCCACAAATACAGCTGCAAATGCTTGAACAACACATATGTTGGTACTCCGACATATGAAATTGTGCTTATATAGCTAGAAGCATTTTCATTCACATACTTGCATAGAATATGTTTCAGGCCCAAATAATAAAGAGCAAAATATCTATACTTAAGCATGCATACATTCTCAATTTCGTTGAAAACATCCATCTCTGTTAATGAATAATCACATAAGCAAATATAAACAACAGCTTGTGCTTGTGCCCTCAGGTTTACAACCAAAGTACAGAGCCATGTCATGTTTGACTTTGATTGCATTTACCGTTCTGTCACAACAGCAATTATGTTTCCATAGCCAAATGTTTCAATTAGGGCCTGATTCAGTGCTCCTATAGGGAATAGAAAACTCCATGCAGTTGTTACCGGTTAATTTGAGGTCAAAAGCATTAGGATGTAATTACGATCTTTTAAAGAACAACAATTAATGCCTGTTGCTTATTTAAACCCCTCATTATTGGCTGTTTCCTCCGCTGAGACATAAGTAAGAATCGAATATTTGGGAAAGGGTTTAGCTATTTAGGTTTTAAGGTCTTTGATATAACATGTCATTCAGAGGGTTTTTTTGTGTGTGGTTTTGTTCCATCTAACCATCTCCATTCCTCAGACCCCCAACCCTTCCCCCGAAACCACAGAAATTGCGGAAACCAAGGCCTCGTTCCATCTATAACCATAAGCTGTTTAACGGCAATATGGAGAGTTTCATTAAGGTACCCACTGACTTTGGTGCTAACAGCGCCCCCTGGTGGGCTGGAGGGATGGCTGAAGCTCTGTCTATCTTTTCTCACTGACTCATGCGCTCACACCCTCTATTTGCTTCTGTTAATTTCCTGTCTTTCGCCAGGTGGCGATGATGCAGATGATAAGGGTGGTAGCTGATGCCCTCCTGCCTAAATACAGACTCAGCAGGGCCCATTAGTTTTTAAGGAACTGCCTTAATGCTAAATTCACGCAATTACGTGGTCAATTACCACTTAGATTTAAAGTATTTTGTTTAAAAAGATATAAATAGAAGAAAAATCACGTGTATCACAGGTATCACGTTCTCCACATGCCTCCCTTTACTGCATCTCAAGCCATTCCAGCAGCCGCCCTAATGCTGTTCCACCCAGTCTCCACGACGATACTGTCGTCTCCATGGCGATTCTGTCGTCCCTTCCTCTCTAACTGTGATTTTCTCACCTCTTTCACTCCTCTGCTCTGCTCTACGCTGCTTTGTGTCCTAGGGGAAGACGGAATGCTCGTACCCGCAGTCAGGTACTGTAGAATAGGGCCAGGCATGGACTGTCTTTACCTTTCAGATAAGGCTGTAATACATTTGCTTAGACAAATGACATGTCATTGCTGCTTTCCACAACAGTTTCCACAACAGAGAAATTCTAACAAGCTTTCTGTAGCGACCTTCGGATGAGTTGCTATTAGCAGCCTTTGCTATTGTGTTATGCCCGTGAGGACAGACATGCTTAATGCTTTGCTTTATTTTCTACTAAAACAATGAAAAAATATTTTTTATTTTTTAGTTTTATGTACAGTATATATTACTTATTTTTAAAGCATTTAGAAAATGTTAAATACTTATTTAAAGGTGCACCAAGCATTTTTTTCCGGTTTAATTTGCATCTAATGATACACAAATGTGTTAAAACAATTTGTTTAGTTATACAATAAAATTAAAATAATGTGTACTCACATGAGGTAAAACACCAGTCATAGCAGTAGCCTAGAAAAAGCTGTTTTAATTCTATAAATTCATATTCCATGAGAAAACATGTCCAATATGATAGATTATATTGATAAAGCAGGTCGTTTTTAGCTGGTCATGTGATCTCAGCATGGACGCCTAGTGATGCGACCAGCTCTATGTTAAATATAACAGGTTTATTAGGAGTGTACATAATATTATACATGATTGTATACTATTTTATAATTTTATGCTACTTTTAGTGCTTTTTGTTTACTTTTTAATCAGGGAAAAATGAGCAGGTGCACCTTTAAAGGAAATCATTTGTTCACCCTCGTGATGTTCCAAACTTGTATGAAAAATGTTCTTGTTTTTGTCCATACAATGAAATTTGTTTAGGTCCAATTTTATTTGACTTTGACTTGGACAAAACTATCTTCAAAATGTCAAAATATTTTGTTCCCCGGAAGAAGAAAGTCAGGTTTGGGTCGCATGAGTGTGAGTAAATGATGAGAAATTTTTTTTTGAAAAAACTGTCAACTATCCCTTTAAATCTCAGCCACAGCTTTAAAACTGGTGCCATTTTGTAATGATTGTTGTCTTTCAGGATTCAGGTCAACCCATTCCTCTGGTGGTGGAGAGCTGTATACGATACATTAATCTATATGGTAAGCAGTTCAAGGAAAGGTCGCTAATTGATTGCAGATAAACATGCTGACTCAGGAGCTACTGGAAACCATTAGAGAGCTCTCCAAAAACAACACATCCACTTATCATTCACAGAGTGCTCAACATTCTCAACCAGAGTGAGACACAGATGCTAATTAGAATAAGGACTCATCTGTTGTAAGTTTTAGTGATCCTGTGATACTTTGGAAATAGTTCCATATAAACTCCATCTGTCAGGGTGAAGCTGAAGTTAGTGAATTTCGAGAATGACATCAGTTTGGCTGCTAAGTATTCAATGGATTGATGATTTATTATTCTGCTAGAGACTATACATTTTTATGGATGTCAAGGCAGAAAATAATAATGCTATAAATTCTATTCTCTCTGCTGGCTCAAAGGTTGTTAACAAGGAACCTGATCTACTCTTTCTTTGAGATTATTTCTTTAAGATCACAGGCATTCCCTCAGGATCCAATGAAATCTCAGAAAATGATTGGAACTTCTTTAGCAACTCATATGTGCCAAAAAAAATTAAGGACCCCTTAGAGGGAAATGTTGTATTTCCTCCTGTCTTGTTTTGAGCTGGAAATAATGCAATATCATGCCTTGACAAGTTTTCGACTCATGTTTCTTTTAATTTTCCAGGGCTGCAACAGCAAGGCATATTCCGAGTTCCTGGATCTCAGGTGGAAGTCAACGATATTAAAAATTCATTTGAAAGAGGTTAGTCCCCTAGAGATGAACTGTAATTATTTTTCAGTTATTTATGTTTATGTACTTTCCAAACTGTAAATATGTTTCTTCCGCACATCAGATCATCATTGCCGAGCAGAGGGTGTAAATAACATCAGAAAATTAAATTTGGTAGCAGGATTTCGATTTACAAAAGCTTTCCTGTGAAACAAATTGATTCTACATTTAGCTCATGTTTGCAGATACAAACAATCATCTGCCTGGTTTTGATATTGACAAATGATGTATTAAATTATATAAGCCATCGATTTGCACTGAAACATTTACTACCTAGAAATTCCCAGAAAATAAAAAAAGAATAAGAGCTTAATAATGATAACAGAAAAGAGTATAGTAAATTGAAATAGTAAATTCTGAAAATAATAATTGGACATTCAGAATAACTGGCCAGATAATCTTTTACTGGAATTGTCGTCATGTCTTTTGAAGTTTCTCAGTTCATCAGATATGGAGGATGAGTGCAAATTTCAGCTACAAGAGAGATGCAAGATAAACAAAACAAATGATACCGTAAGGATATCAGTCATTAGGTGTTACACAGCAGTGTTGTTGATAAATAGCTACGTTTTAATGTGCAACCTTGTTATTGTGTCACAGGTAATTGAAACATCAGCAAAAAAAAATAAAAAATACTAAGGTGCCTGCTAGTGCCTGAATTTGGGTTCTTGTAAAACTTAGGGAACTAAGGAGCAGAAAGAGACAAATCCCTATTTTGTAGACCCTTAACTTAATTGTGTTATTACTTACTTTACGTTATTACTTATTATTATATATTAGGAATGTGTGTGTGTGTGTGTCTATTTTTCTCCTATAATCCCTATTTTTTCCACCATTTATTTCAGGTGAGGACCCACTGGTTGATGATCAGAGCGATCGTGACATCAACTCTGTGGCTGGTGTTCTCAAGCTGTATTTCAGAGGTCTGGAGAACCCTCTGTTCCCCAAGGAGCGCTTCCTGGATTTGATCTCCACCATCAGTGAGTGTTTCATTCAGTTGCAGGATAGGTCGAAATGTCACTGGAGTGATTAAACCTGGTATTACTCCATAGATTGCTGTTATTTGTTGTATGTTTCTACTGGTGCTTGGCTTCGTCTTTGCAATTTGACAAAGCAGTTTGTCAGTTTCTTATATATTGCTTTTGGAAACAAAAAATGTCTGGCAAGAGAATGTAAAAAGTAAAACATAAGTAAACATACAAAAGATTGTTTTGGGATTGAGGCTAATAGTTGACTGCCATTCACAAGTTTGGGGTCAGTAAAATTTTTATTTTTATTTAGATTGCTGAAGGATTATGCAACACTGAAGACTGAATTGTTGTAAAAATATTTCACAGTATTACTGTTTTACTGTATTTTTGATCAAATAAATGCAGCCTTGGTGAGACTTCTTTCAAAAACATGAATCAGTCTTACCAACCCCAGATTTTGAACAGTTGTATATATTTTAAATGTGGAGCTTTTGGTTTATTTGTTTGAATGCTTGTTTGTCGATTTCTTGTTTCAGAGCTTGAATCATCTGCGGAAAGAGCCCACCACATCCAGCAGATCATCATCACCCTTCCTCGTACCATCATCATCGTCATGAGATACCTGTTTGCTTTTCTAAATCAGTAAGTTTTATATTTCACAAACTTTTTTTGTGCCATACTTTAAAGAAGTTGACCTGCAGTTACACACGCATGCTCAAAAGTGGGAGGCTAATCTGTAATTTTACCACACTGCCTTCACAGCATCTCTGTTTTTAGACTGTAAATCTCCTAGTAAATCACCATTTATATGAATAGCAGCAGTCACAAGCAAAGACATTCCTTATATTTACAAAGAGCTATTCAGCAGCACCTACCATTATTGTCTAATTTATGACCATGTCTGTCAAGTCAAGTGCTTTAGAGGATATTTACGCCAGAAGAAACCGATCAGTCTGTACTGTACTATACCTGTCCTCTTCTCCTTGGTTTTTATTGATGCTTCCTGTTCTCACCCTCCCCCAGGCCGAACAAAGAATTTGATTTCACTTCATGAGTTTTCCCTCTGACTTCTCCCCCCCCGCCCCTTCATTTGCTCTCGGTGCTCGCAGCTCTGACTCAGTTGAACTTCACTTCTGCAGTCAAGAGACTTCCCAATGAGAGATGAGCTGAAAGATAATGCACTGTACATGAAGATGAATTCTCTTGGACAAGTTATGAATTAGTATATTGAAATAGACAGCAGGAGTAAGAGTGAAAGCTTTTGATAAATTGTAATTCCTGCAGCATTACATCACCTTTAAGAACGTAAACTTTTTTTTACTATCTCTGTCTCTTCATCCTAGTCTGTCCCAGTACAGTGATGAGAACATGATGGACCCATATAACCTTGCCATCTGTTTTGGACCCACTCTGATGCCCATCCCGGATGGTCAGGACCCTGTGGCCTGCCAGGCTCATGTTAATGAGGTCATCAAGACCATCATCATCCACCACGAGGTCATCTTCCCCAACTTGCGTGAGCTGGACGGTCCTGTCTATGAGAAATGCATGACTGGAGGAGAGGAGTACTGGTGAGCTCCAGACTTTAGCTGGATTTTGTTGTTACTAAGGAATGTCATAATTCCTCTATTAGAGCCAGCCGTGGCTTAAACTGAGCTCTCTACTATGAATGGGGAGTTTCGCACTCGGGTCATATAAAGTGGAGTACCTGAGGCATACTTTTGTAACCTATTGCTAAAAGCAGTATTTCTACTTATAAAAAAGATCCATGATACAGTGTTGGTATCAGAAGGAAATACCACATGGTTCTTTGATATATACTGTTGTTCTAAAAGATTACCATATTAATATACCATAGATTACTTGTTATTCCTAGGCACTTGGTGGAAATGGTTTGCTTTGGTTATTATTAGTAATAAATGTAAACACAGTACCGTTGAAAAGTTTGGGGCCAGTAAGATTTTTTTTAGAAATTAGATTCTGATGAATCAAATGAATCTGATGAATTAGATTATGCTCACTAAGGCTGCATTTATTTGATATAAATACAGTAAAAACGGATAAATCTCAGCTGTGAAATAAATGTAAATGTAAACAAATAAAGTGTAATAGCAAAACTGAATTTTCAGCAGCCATTGCTCCAGTCTTCATTGTCACATGATGCTTAAGAAATCATTCTAATATGTTGATTTGGTGCTCAAAAAAACATTATTATTATAAATGCTGAAAACTGTTTTTCTGCTTAAAATTGGTGGAAACTATGATGCTTTTCTTAGACAAATAGAAAATTCAAAAGAACAGTATTTATTTGAAATAAAAGTAGAATCAATGCATCCTAGCTAAATAAAAGTATTATTTTCTTAAAAAAAAAAAAAAAACCTACTGACTCCAGACTTTTGAATGTATTTATCAAACATGCTGTTTTAAAAGCAAGACTCCTAATGCTGTTTTTTTTTACCCTGTTCTTACTCTTTGTTATGACTTCTGCGTAATGACTCTTAACCATGGTAAAATCAATGTGTAACACAGTCTCTTGTGGCATATTGCTTTAAATCCCCATTAAATAATTTTTTTTTTTTATCCACAATGCTTTCAATGCTTTATGTTTCATGAGTCTCTAATATTGATACTATCAGAATTGATTACTGTTTGCGGGACATTGCAGAACTGTAATTGTCATGGTTTTTCCAATGCTGGCATTATCATGTGTACAGTTATTGTGTTTACTGTGCTTTTAAACAACTCTTTCTCTTTGTGTTTGTTTATGTGTATATATTCACACAGTGACAGCCCTCACAGTGAACCAGGCACCATTGATGAAGCGGACAACTGCACCGAACCACACACGAGCGATGATGGTACAGGCATTTGTGCATTCATTCAATGCTTTATGTACACTCTTATCATTCTTATCATTGTCTCTTATGGCAAGATGCTGTATTGTATTGAAAAAGAGACAAATAACCAGAAGCAAAAATCAGCATTTGAGGTTTTTAGTTTACTTAACCAATAGAAGTACAGTCGGATGTTTATGTTAGCCTTTGGGGTTGAAAGGAATCAAAATGACCACATATTGCTTCCTAAAGAAAAAGAAAAATGGTTTTGCCTTGTGTATTTTGAAGATGATGTGCTGATTAGCATTGCTGTGTTGTGCTCTGGATGACCTTTCGGGCTTGTGTGTGTATATGTGTGTGCACATGGATGTCAACCACATAATTGACATCAGATGTCAAAGCTGGCATTGAAATATCTGGGTCGTATTCAGTTTAATCGAAACAGTTTCCACAAAACAATATTATTCATACAACCACAGCCAATATGCGACTTTGACTGTGCTGCAAAAAATCTTTCAGTATTTGTTGTGTATTTGTATATATATATATATATATATATATATATATATATATATATATAATTGAGGTA